TCCCAGAAGGCATTTCAGAATTGCTTTTACAGTAAGAATCATCTCAATTTTTCCAGACAGTGATCGGGACACACACCGAGTGAAGCTGAAGAGTGTCCTCCAGCAGGGAAGACAGACACCTGCTCTCATCAGATGGGGTGACTTTCTGTGGCAGCCAGCCCACCGGGGCAGAACGTAGAGGTGCAGAATAAGACTTCAAGGCATCTCCCTATTTCCTAGGATTATCTGAAGACAAACAGCATTAATGAGCTTGTTCTCTTTCACAGGGTGGAGATGACTATACAAAGCAAAAAGTAATGTTGGCCACGGAATCAGCTACTGAAGAACAAAAATAAAAGCTAATCAAAGCCTGTGTTGCAATTAGTGTGAGTCCAGTGTAAGATTGAAACAGAATGAGGCAGACTGGCAGAACTGCAGTAACAAAGCGAGGACACGGATGCTCATAACGGAGAACACGGAACCCCGCGCTGTAACTTAGCTCTGCAGGCAGGCCGAATGGGAACTGTTTTTAAGAAGATACTGAAAAAGTGCCTGAAGAGATCGCTAGAGGGAACGTGCGCACAGCTCTCGGCAGCCCTGCTGTGCTCCTGCCCAGTATTTCTGCCGTCCTGACTTCCTGGCACTCCCTGCTCTTTGGCACTTATGCTGGCAAACCTCATTCTGCCGGACCAGCACAAATGCCTCTTCTGCCGCCTTCCTCTTTTCCCCTCCTTGTAGTTCTTCTTCTGTCTTAATTTTAATTTTTCTCCAGTCGCTTTTATAAACCCGTGAGAATGCAACAGAGTAGAAGGATTAGCTTAGCTTAGGCTCAGGAAAAAAAGCATCCGAGGTTTTTGGTTTCCTCAGTCGGCTGCAGGAGTTTCATTTCTGGGATGCAGTGACTTCTCGCAGCTCCGTCCCGTTCCTCCGGGTTTCGTTTTCTCCAGCGGTGCTGGAAACAACGAGCGCGCGATCGGAGCCGAGCGGCGCTGCGCTGCTCGCGTCCCGCGGGAGGCAGCGGGCAAAGCGGCGCCTCCCGGCCGCCAGGACGCGCGCTGCGGCCCGGCTCCATCTGGTGGCCGAACAGACGCGGGCAGGCGGACGTACTGCGATCAGGTCGCCCAACCTTCTTGCTAAAATTCGGGCATAAATGTTGTTAAACAAACGTGTGAATTTCCTCCAGACATTTTAGAACAAATGGCTCGAATGTTTCTGGTAACAGAGAAACGGGGAGACTGATTAAAGACAACATCAGTGCAAGCAAGCGTTGCCTATTTTCTTGTATAATGCTACAAATATTCTGGCTGATTTATTATTTATTTGTTTGTTTGCTTCTCCAGGCATTTTTTCGTGTGGCTGTCATTAAATGTAATAAATGATAGCATCTGAACTTTCAGACAGACTTTGCCTGTGCTCGTCCTGCAGTCCCTGAATCTGAATAAGTACATTCAGTAACTGCCTTGTTTGACAGCTTGACCACTCAAACTATGAACTTGGCATAGGAGAAGACAAAAGACAACAGAAACTACAGAAGCTAGCCAAAATCTGAACTAATCACCGCATCACTGCTCAACGGGTCCCTTATTCACAGCACAGAGACAAAAACTCACACTGCAGTGTGCAGCACAACTACACCCCTCCTTCGGTGAGTGGGTCACTGCCAGCAGCTTCGGTGTTGGCAGTGGGAAGGCAGTGACCTGACTGCGTGTGCTGGACTTGCTGCTCTGCTATATATCACCTTGCATATTATTGCATGGAGCTTCTGAGGATCATACGAGAATCTGCATCCATCTCTCTTTACAAAACATTGTCTGGGAAGCAAGATGGCAGCAATAGAGAGCACACAAATCATGTTTCCAGAGACTGACACAGAGCTGGTTGCTGGGTATACAACAGGATAAGTCTAATTACACACCTATTTTGACTGTCTTAATATCAAAGGTACATCACAGATCCACATGACGTAGAGACAAAGCAAGTGCCTGTTTTAGGGAGCCACAGATCTCAGCAAAACCTGTCTGTCAAGAAGAGTCTCTCCATAAGGCACACAGAGTAACCGTGCTGTCCATTGGTAACAAAGCTGCCTTAGCTTTTCATGTATATGTAAAGCTAGAGCACATTCCACGTCTAGATTTCCATTTTGTGTCCTCTGCAGCTGTGCTCAAATATCTGAAAATAAGTGCAGGTTTGCAAGGTTGGCACACAGTGACTTAATAGTAGCAAAGTCTCTTTCTTAAATCGATTTTCTCACAGCTGGACCATTGTTCCACATAAAGAGTTCCTTGCTATCTCTTGTACCAGAAGATAATTGCATTAAATAAGCATGTTGCTTGGCCAGAAGGCACTGTGCACACAGTACATGCTGAACTACGTACCATGCACACAGCAATTGAATACTTGTGTTCTGCTCTGGTAGATACAGGTTTGTCTGAGTCTGGCACAGCCACCAGCTCAGCAAAGCAGCACAGGGAAGGGAGCAGGGGAGGAGGAGAGTGATCTGGCTGCTGGACTCTCACCTTCGCAGCCACAGCATAGTTTGCATTTTGAGTGAGTGCATCAACAGTGGGAGGAAGCTACAAAAGGCTGTGTTACATCTGCTGGAGACATCAGCAGCCAGCAGCAAGCGTGAAAGCTACCAAGTGTGCAGTAATAATCCTTTAAAATAAAAACAAAGGCAATGCTGCTGCTTCTTCAGCAGTGCAGTGGGACAGGAGGTTGACTGGTAAAACAGAGATTAAATTCAAATATTGCAATGCCATCTGAATCGATACCTAAGTTTTGGAGAGGCTTGTACTCAGCTCTTTTGTGTAAATATTGCCTGTGATGTTTTCAACATCTTTTTCTGCACCCACACATTGAGAAAGAAGTTGTATCAGTGCTGTACCACACACCGACTGCCAAAGGTGCGCCTGCTGTTTGCTTGCTTTTTTTTAAATCTATTTTGCATCCTGGGTTTTGCTATTTTGCTACAAGTATCCTCATCAAATCACTGTTCTGCCATCCTTTTTGGCAAGAGCCTCAAAAATACCCGTGTTCCAGCGCCTCACCTCTGTGGTACATCTTATCTAGGATCTCTAATAAGAAAGTCTCTCCAGTCTTCTGCGTTGCTCACTGAGGCATGGCACGAGACAAGACCAAACCAGCTGCTCTGGCAGGAGCACAGGAACACAGAGCAAAGTGACCCATCTTTAATCAGGGCAGCAGTATTGCTTTTTGTCTCAGCTCAGAGAATTCAGCAGCTGGTGGGGTGCCGTACTGAGCAGACTGGGAAGCAGTGAATAAAAACCACTGCATGGCCTTCAGAGTCACTGTTAGAACCAGCAAGATACTCAACTTCAGCATCCAGAAACTTCCTGCCAGGCACATCGCTGCGGCAGCAGACAGGAGTTTGCAGCTCCTTGGATATCACTGCAAGAGAGAAGTTGACGTACAACAAACAGGGGTTTTAAAACACGGCAGCAGTTTAGTATTTTTTTCATATATTCCCATTTTCTCTCAGTGTGAAAAACACTGCTGTCCTTTATCCTGACTTGCTTTTCTGGTATTGATGTCAGTAAGTATGAAGAGTGGAAAGGTATGGGGACACAAAGAAGAGACTGCATGAAGTCTGATAGCGGCAACTGGCGTGACGTCATTCATTGATGTGTTCATTAAGAAAGCTCTCAGTGCTTCAGTTTGCTTCTGTCTCATTCCATAACGAGATGCTGTGCTTTATTTATGGGCGGTTGGAATTACTTTGACCTGTACACAAACTAGAAAAAAGGGGAAAAATCCATCTCAGTTTTCTTTTAGTCCTCACATTCTGTGCCTTGAGCAGTCATACTGCACACACAGAGTCTGCTTCAAATAAAAATAATAATAATAATGAAATTAAATAAAATTACAAATAGGAAAAGCAAACAATGAAAGAAACAAAAAATCAAATCCCTGCCACATCAGAATGTGAACTGTTTACTCCCAGTCTCAAGGTAAATTCTTGCCCTGAAATGTTGCTAGCTTACCCTTTGACAGCAGATGCAGCTACAGTGCTACAGAACACTTTTCAGAATGCTGGGCATTATCACTTTTGCTATTTAATCACCGTGTTTCACAGTCATTCTGCTGCATTTTTTATTGACGGAAATTATACTCATGGTTACTTTCCAACCAGCAGGTGGCACAACTACGGGTTTAACAGCGCTGCAATTCCTAGAACGGCCGGGGAGGCGTGGAGCGGAGGTTCAAACTACAGTTGCATTTTTCCTTTGACACTTTTTGGAGTCGCATGGAGACAAGGCTGCTAGCGGGAAGCTGAACACAAAGTATGGCTGTATCTTTTCCGTGGCCAATCTTCTCTCTTCTTTTTCTCTCTGGACACTACCATAAGTCTAGGCCCTGAATTTGGACACTGAGCACAAGTCTCACGAGGGGCAGCTGAGGGGCCTGGGGCGGTGCTTTACTGCACAGAGCTGGGGGGGGGGCAGGTCACTCTGCAGCCCTGAAAGGAAGGGCTGGTGAGGTGAGGGTCAGCCTCTGCTCCCACAGAGCCGGCAATCGGGTGAGGGAGAGCGGCCTCCAGTTGTGCCAGGGGAGATTCGGGTCATTAGGAAAATTGTATCTCCTGAAAGAGAGGCCAGGTGCTGCAATGGGCTGCGCAGGGAGGTGGTGGAGTCACCATCCCTGGAGGTGTTCAAGAAACGTTTAGATGTTGTACTGAGGAATGTGGGTTAGTGGGGAATATTGGTGGGAGGCGGATGGTTGGACTGCAGGATCTTGGAGGTCTTTTCCAACCTTGGTGATTCCATGATTCTACACTGAACATTACTGCTACGGGCAAAACTAATAGCAAATGCTACATAAAAAGGTTTTAACTTTTAGAATATGGATCGTTTCTATGTGTAAAATCCAGTGCTTGAGAAGTGCAAATATACAGCACAGGAAGAATGAAAGCCCGAGCACAGGAACATCACCAAGTATGGCCGTGCACTCTTGTCTCACCTGCTCTAACCAGTAACAGCCGTGATGGTGCCAGAAGGGCAGTCTGTACAGCAGAGTGCAGTTTATTGCTTGCATCTCTGCAGTAGCTAGAGGCTCTGAGCAGATGTAAATTATATTATTTGCTAACAGTATCTTCCAGTCAAACAGTAAAAGAAATCCTCTGAAGGTTACATGACTGAAGTAGAGGTGAAAACAAAAGTGAAAGGCTGAATTCACTGCCTCAGTCTCTGTTACTGTCTGTTACTGTGTTTATTAAGACCTTCAGCAGTGGAAAGCATAATCAAGTCTGAGCAGGTCTTCTTCAGCTCCATACAGTGCAGTCAAGTCTCCACACCTTCGCTGTTATCACCTGAGGTTGGACCAGATGGCCTTCAGAAATTCCTTCCAAGCTGCTGGTTTTGTCAGTGATTACCTGTGTTAGCTTGACATGCATTGGACAGGAACTAGCATACAACTGCAAAGAATTCCAGAAAGATCTCACAGTTGTTACTGGCTTTAAGAACACACAAACCTCTAACCAGCAGTCCTACACCTCTGAAGAACGAAAGCATCATCTCTGAGCTACAGAACTGCTGGTCAGGAAACGTTCTGGAGAAAGGTGCTTGCCTTTTCTTACATTCTCCCTAGGCAACCACTGCTGGCCTCTGCCCCTTTGGATCCCATCCTTCATCTAAGACCAAGCATTAACCTGACCTGCACACAGTGCTTAAGTCCCCCCAGGAGAAAGGACTGCAGAAAAACTGAACAAAGAAAATAACTGATTGCACGAGACAACAAATAGCAAAAGAGAGATGACTGCAATGGGACGCCTGCAGAAGCACCTCTGGCAGCACCCCGTACTTCAAGAAAAAGGGATGAACTTCTGGATTGAGCTAATAAAACCGTGTGACATCAGACAAACCCCCCACAGCAAGGTGCCTTCTGCCAACTCCTAGGCCCTGGAAGCTGACAGTCTGTGGTTGATCACAAGTACGATATGGGAATGGTGTTTGTGGGACAGCTCTAGCTGGGGCGACGTATCTACTTCCTTCAAGCCTTTTCGATGTTATAAGCCCTTGCTATACGAGTAGCTACAGAGATTTTTGTCATTTTTACTAGTTAATTTGAAGATGATTCTAAAGACAACCCAGCACAGAAGGGTGCATTTCAGAGAAAAGCAAATAATGTTTCCCCACCTCCACATTCAAGTACAGTTAAGAGGCAACAGCAACGTAGGATCACTGAAAAGCTGTCACAGTTCTTTTTACAGTGAAAATCACCAGGTGTTCAAATGATTCATACATTTAAGTAAAACCAAAATACACTCGTGAAATTTCAATGCTCGAACACAGAAACGTCACCGTGAACCCATTCCCAGTGCAAGCGAAGAGCACAACAACACTTGGACATCCTGGAGAAGGAATTGAAGAGCTGAAATCGACTTCCTAGTTAATTAATGCTTAATTAATCTTTGTTCAAGGAGGTGCGTGGCGGTTTGTAGATTGCAATGTTTATCCAGGAGGTGCCCCAGTGTTCATTGCTCCTGCCCACAAAAACTGCTTGGGTTATAATATAACAGCACCTCCAGAGGATCTCTGTTGCTCACAAAGATTTCATTCATTAGGTGCATCACCTCTGAGACGTTTTTGTTTGCTAGTACCTGTTTGTTTGTGGCTTGGTTGCTTTTTTGATGTCTGAGATTCCACTCAGTAGTTGACGCTTTATTCTGAAAATGATCGCATTTGTTTTGAGAATATTTGCTCTCTGAACTCTCATTTAGTTTAATATGCCTATTGTAAATACCCTCAATTGCCCCTTAAGGTAAAAGACCACAAGCTACGCTGTCAGAGCTCCTGCTTTGAGGAAGTTTGATCTACCTTAAGCGAGAGTTTCTAGAGTAACGTTTCCAGATGTAAGTAATTTGCCTCTTAATTCACTTAAATCCCTTAAAAAGAATCAGGCTTCCAATGACTGTATTTAACAGCCACAGGGAAGCGCAATTGGAGGAATGGAAAATGTCTGAGTGCTGACCAGACCTCCTTGAGATTGTTTTCTAGAAGAGAGAGGGGACTTCTGCTGCATTTCTGACTGCGTGTCAACCATAAGGAAAATGCAGAACAGAGTATCTGCTTTTCTGTGTGTTTTTCCCCCCACTAAAATGTGGCATTCTTTGTTCCTTCCCAGGTCAGACCTCTCCCACTTCTCTTCCGCCACCCTCTCAAATTGGATAGGAAACAAGCAGTCTTCTGCTGGAGCTGATAGGCTCCAAGAACAAAATGCAGCAGTTCCCTAATCAGCTTCCAACCATAAATAATGCTGTGTTCTTTCCATGTGAATTGATATTTACATCAACATGTAAATACCCTAAACATCCACAGCCAATCAGTTTGATGTAGGTGTTGATTTGCTGTCATGTAGCACATTATGCTGCATTATGTTGCTGCACGTGCTGTGTAGAAATCACTTGTTAATGCTACAGTTTCCTCAACCTGTGACCAGGAGCAGCCTGCTGAGCAGAGCGGCGCAGGAAGGGTTCGTGCTCAGGCGCAGACCAAGGGCTTCGTAACCAAGGGCTACGGGCAGCTCCTCAGGAAAGCACAGATAAGATTTACAGCTAAGGTAAAGGCAGTTACAGAGCACCACGCACAACTTGACCATGTGTTTATAGTAATTTTATTTACAAGTTACCATACAACACCTGTAGTACTACACTTTTTATAACACCATTAGAAGTAAAATAAGTAACATCTAGAATAGGAGGCAGCAGAGAAAAATGTGCACAGAGAATGCAGAAAAGCTATTCAGTTATAATTAAAAGTAGGCATCGTTCTACACACTTCGAAAGCAAGGAGAAATGTACAAGTTGAGAAGAGCGAGTTCTTCACCCCTGTTAGTTCTACAGCATTAAATTTTTTCTAACAGTGACATCTCGGTATGATGAACACTACACACTAGCAGTCAAATGCAAGTGCTGGGGAGATTACTATATTGATACCTTGTCCTTCCGAGGAAAAACAAAGCTTCCCTCTTTAAAGGAAAGTTATCCAGGGCAGATTTACTTGCAGAGCCAGTAGTGCAGAAATGCTATCAGGGGGCAGGAAGGACAGAATTAAGACTAGAGAGTTCCCATGCATTGCATATTGCCTGTGCGTTCTTATCTGGTCTTGAGTTAGTAGTCGGTGAACAAAACCAGTTGCAGCATTCCCCAAGTCTTTTTACAGCGCCGTGATCTTATAAGGCCGTGTGTAGCTTAGCAGAATCCCAAAATCAAGCAGAGAAAAAAGCCCTTCTGCTCTCTTGTAATCCTTGGCTCTAACGGTGCTGGTGTTGAGCCGGGGCCTTTCTCAAGAGGAAAAACATGGAGGAGCAATTCCGGAGAAGCTCCCTGGATCTGGATGTGTTCTGCTGATAAACTCAGAGGAAAACAAGCTTAGTGCAGCATCAGATGCAACTCTTTTCTGCTTCAAAGCACTGCAGCAGCTTCCAGAAAGCAAACAAGTGTTATGCAGGACTTTTTCCCCAGAATACATCATTAACAGCCCGGAACAACTGTCAATGCACAAAATCCATGCTAGCAGCAACCATTGGAAAGACAATGAAAATAAAAGCTGCACAGTAATAATTACTTCCACTACTAACTACACACAGGATATATTGCTTTTGGTACAATGCCACTTATTGTTAGAAGAAAACCAGTGACTACGTTGAGCACGCATGAATTATGCAGATCTTTGCCATGCTGGAATAACAGCAAATTATACTCAGAGAAACGTCAAGTCAGCTGTAAAAACGACTTAACACAGTTCTCCCCACATACCAAACTACCCTCAAAAACAAGCCCACGAATTAAGTTGAGCTACAAAAGAATGTTTAAGAAATGACCACAATTTTATTTTTCTTTAATCCCCACCTTCTTCTGGAGTGCTGATGTACGCTGCACACGAGAGCAAACAGAACACGTAGCTACAGTGACACCAACAACGCTCCTTTAAGCACTTCTGGATGTGCCAACTGGCCTGCAGAAGTTTGTTCCCTCCACATTTGCGCATGCCTACTCAAAGAGCCTGCAAAAGTAAACATGTACCAAAACTAACAAAACTTTAAAAACACCGAACATTAAAACTTCTTTAGTCTATGAACCTGAATCTAAGATGCCTCAACTACGAGATAGAATATTTGTAAATTTTAAGCATTTCTAGGAACAGGAAGGTTTGATAGCCAAAGTTTTCTCCCCTGCTATTGAGATTAAAGCTGAGCTAGGAGAAGGCCTGACTTCAAATCTTCCCTGAGTTTTCAGCTCGCTGCTGCTATCATCGGTTCAGAGTTTCAAGCCAAGATTCTGAATATTCAGCATTTTTGCATTTGCAGATTTAAGGCAGAAAAGCATCTTCAGAACAAGCTATGTGTCTTGGACGTTGTGATCGAAGCAGAAGGTGCATCGTAAGTCTCCTGCTCATAGCAGATTGTTACCATTCTGTTATTTTTTAAACTCGCAGCACACTCACAGCTTTGGGTTACGCTTTTTTTTTTTGCTTGAAAAGCCTGAATTTTGATATAGTTTCAGTAGTGCAGAAGAATGCATCATAGCCAGGGAGAATGAAGTTTTCCATTGTTATTTCTGGCTTTTGTATTCAAGGCATTAAAACAGTAAGGTGGAATTAACAGATGCTGTGCAAAACCCCAGCTGGAGCAAAGCCCAGGCGCCGGAGCTGCAGCACAGGACCTGCGCTGCCTGTGCAAGTGGGCTCCCCAAAGCCAGCGGCTGGAGCGTAACCAGCAGCCCTTGAGTCAGCTGCCCGTGAGCAGGGCCCGGCTCTGTGAAGTATGGCTGCGTCCATGGCCTTACAGAATAACTGAAACAACCCAGACATTTCTAAAAAGCAAACAAAGGGAGAGTTGTGAGACCACAGGGAAGCTACAGCCATACAAAATAAGGAGAAGAAAGAATAAGAAAGTGACACCGAGTCAGACACAGCAGTCAAAGGACTGGGGAGAAAAATACCAACAAGGAATGTATAAACCCTGAGGAAGAAAAGCATCACTGGAAGACAGAAACTCAACGGGACCAAAGGTCAGCTCTGTGCAAGAAGCAACGGCAGGAGACAGAGAAGCATTTAAATCGACCAGTGGCACAACTGGGAGCACCACACAAAGCCACAGAAAGACCCACAAGATACACAAAAGGATTCAGCTCAGTGTTTTCAGGTGAGGCAGCATGCTGGCTCTCCAGCATTCTCAAGACATTTCTTCCTTTTTTGTGGGGAATCAGAAAAATGCCCAAGGACTCCTTTTATGTCCCTCACGTGCGAACCAGCCACCCCTGCACCAAGGGAAATGAACTCCCAAAGGATCACGCATCGCTCTGCCAGAATAATTAACGGGGTGGAAAAGGGAAAGAACTGAAGAAGGGGTGATGCTGCAAGGAAGATGTGAGGACGCTTTAGAGAAATGACAAGAGGTTTCCAGTATTTACAGGGTATTCAAGGATTAAGAGTCAGAAAAGTTCAAACCAGGGTCTGCTGAACGTCAGGCTCAAGTTTCTAACAGCAACAAAGGACTCCTCACACTCCTCACACCACACGTGACCCAAGCGTATCGCTCATTTCCCATCATTTCACCTGCTTTATATTGCCCCTCAGAAACGAACACCCCATCGCCAGGTCACATGCTGTGCTTCCAGCAGCAAGAGTCTCAGGTGACCTGCCAGGTGCTTTTGCTTACCTGTTCTGAGGATTCACACCAGTTTATGTAATAGGACCAGTAATCTGTTGTGTATCACCAGAACCGCATGAATCCCAAAGAAAGGTTTTTGGAACAGCTGAGACTTCAGCTTCACTTTGAAAAAGAAGACAAAGAAAAAAATTGTCATGGTAGCAAGATGTACTGAAAAAAACAGGCAGAGTTCTGCAAGATAGCTGAAGGAAATACCCAAGGTGTGAGCACCTTACAAAGTGGAACAGTAAAGGCTTCACCAGAGCAACTTTCACCTCTTAATTCCAAGATCAGCCCTCAGTGAACGCGGTGTGATGGAAGCTCAGCCCTGGCACCTGGCAGCGCCTGGATGCTGTCCTGCAGAGGAACCAAAGCTCTTCCGCATCGCTGACGTGGCACACATTCATGCGACGAAGATTTTAAATCTTCTACAATTATCAAATGTTCATTTTTTTCAGCTTGTCAAGCATTACGCAAATGCTACTTAGTAGAAAGTACAATGAAACACACAGAAGTGAGAAGATACTGGGGTTGTAGCTCTACAAAGCCCAACGGCATCAAATCTACACTGCTCAAACCAACATGGTTATAATCAGAAGCAGTTCCTCAAGACTTTGTGAGCGCAGGAGCTCCTCCAGCGCTGGCTATTCAGCCTGCACGGCACGCTGCTCACCAGAGCACACCACTCAAGCACTGAGCCTGCACACAGACCCCACAGCTCATCTATGCAGTCTTTGGCTCCGAGGTCTCACTACCCACTGCCCTTCAAAGCTCAGACAGGAAGGATCGGCGTCCTATTCTGGTGAACAAAGCAAATAAAAGCAAAGTGTTTTCCAACTAATCCTATTTAAACAAGTGTGACAAAAACACTGAGTCCAGCAGCAGCTTGTCTAAACCTCTGCTGGGACGATGCAGTTCAGTCAAACTTTGAAGTAACTCACTGAAACACACACTGCAATGCAGCACACTGCTAGAGGGAACAGAGACAGACAAGGGCAGCCACAGCCATGAAAAAGCAACGTGCATAACTGCATGTGTGGCAAAATCAAACTCTTAATATTCTGGAAAAAAAGTGCATACTGCTGTGAAGAGCAGGGAGGGGACGGAGAGAGGAACCTTAGCGAGCCGGGCGTAGAGCTGTTACAGAGCTGTCAGGTACTGGCGAGCACCTCAGTTTCAGGTCAGGCTTTCTGCGTTGTCACACACACTGCAGTCTCTAGCTGCCAGGATCCAGTTACACCTTTTCTCAGTTCTTTGGCACAGCTGGATTTCAGACTAAAAATATTGGTGAAAATGCCCTTACAGGATGTTCGAGCGCGTTGTTCCCACAGTCCTCAGAACGCCCCAAACCTTGGCCTGAGAACAACGTTTTCGTACCGAAAGCATTTGCTCTCTGAGGGCCGCTGGAGCGCTTCGCAAAACTTCCCGGGCAGTGGGCAGCAGCTGTGCCAACATCCACGAGCCAAACATGGGCCACCTCTGCGCCCAGCAGCTCACAGCGCTCATCTCACAGCCTTCTTGCCACAACGACACAACTCTTCTGCCCTCTACAAACTTTACCTGCAATGTTTTGGATGACTCCAATTTCAGACTGGTGCACTTGCGCTCTGAAACAGACACACCTGTGCATTCGGAACACGGAGGCAGGCTCTCTCTCTGCTTTTAGACGCGCCGTAACGCGCCGCGCTTTTACAACAGCGGGTCATTGCAAAGCAACATTTCAGTGGTTCTACACATGCACAGTACTATGCTGATTTGGTAATACAGGGACACAATTTAATGATTTTCTTTGCATTTGTTTTTACAAGATTCAGATGCCAAAAGTGAAACAGAACATTAAGTTACCTGATTTAAAGAAGAAAATCACATACGTTTACAACATTAAAAGAATAAGACAAATATAAACCTTTGCTACTTACAACTGATCTATACAGATTAACCAAATCACAAATCTGCCACAATATAAATGTTTAATTGTTACAATGAATAAGAACATACAGAAAATGAAGCTTTAAAGGTTTTTTTTAATATAAAATCTTCCTTTATTTTATTTTAAACTTACCATTAACTAAATTAGCTATGCAGGACATGTGGGGTACGTGACTAAGAAGGCACCGACAGTACAAAGCAAAGACAAAGCAGTTTGAGTATTTAAGAGTGCTCTACACTGATACAACACGAGAAAAGGCAACAATAGTAAGTAATCCAGCTGCCACCTGCAGGCGTTTGTTCTACATCTACACAGGCAGTCTGCCTTTCGTCCAGCGCTCCCCCAGCTCCATCACAGCACATGCTACAGAAAACCATGGTACGCTTCACTTTACTAATGTGCACTTTTCACTGATTTAGTGTCTTCATTTCAGTCATTAACCAAACCATTTCGAACCACAAACGCATTTAAAACTTAGTAAGAGGACTGTTTGGATTTTTGTTCACTGCATTTACAAAAATACTTCCCCTAAAATCTGGGATTGCTTGAAGACGTCGCTGTACAGATATAAAAGTACTATGCAAGGGACCAAATCCATGAGCATCTTGTGTGCATAGGCCTATATTTATACCACATCACTGTGCTGTAACAACACAAATTCATCAATAACCAAGGACTATATAAACTACACTGACGTAAGCAAATATATATTAATACAGTTTAAATCTATAGTACAGTTGCTCAGCAAACAACTTTGACATGGTATAAATATATCACGGCGGATCACAACGGGCAACAGGTTTTCTTCCCCATTCCGTAAGGCAAGCCGTGCTCAGCTCCTTGGGCTGCCTGTGGCCACCGCTGGGTCACGGCGCCACCTGCGACTGCCGAAGCCTCGCAGGGCCGCACGCCTCGACCTGGGGCGCGTGACAGAGGTGAGGAAGATTCTGGGAAGTCAGGACAGCAGAATAAGATGCTTTCTTTGCCAAAGCATCGAGGAAAAGCTTAAGTTTGCCCACTCTTCTTCTGCAGTACAGCTGCAATGTTTACGCAGTCAACTGTTTATATTCCTTATTCCCAAAACATCTTTACCATGAAATATATATTACTTCAAATACAGGCTTCAGGTCTCTGCTCTACATATTGAAAAACTAAGTAAAAGAGGGGAAGAAAAAAAAAAAAAAAGCAAAACGGAGCAATAGCCGACCTAGCAGTGTTATAGGCACCTTCTTTTAAACATTTTCAATATCTGACAAAAGAAAAAGTCATGCTTCTGCACTTGACAATATAGCATTCAGCTTAACAACGCCTACTGCGTTCAGCAGGAGATGGATGGATGGATGCAGTTATGGGTACCGATGGACTCCAGCTGGGGTCAGTAAGGACAGCCAAGGAGGAAGGCCTGAAAGCACCACACGTTAGGTAAAGCAAACCCTTGGCTCATCATTCTGAAAGACAGATAGCAAGGGTAAGTTTACACCTCTCCAGAAACCCAAAATTAAAGTATTAAAAAAAGAATTGGGAAAAGGATGAAATAAGCTGCCAAAATTCTTCCTTAGCAAATTCGGGTTGAGGTGTTACAAACTAGTTTTACAAATTTTTTCAGTAACAGTCATCTTTTCAACCGTGATTCCTGTAATGATGACGATGGTACAAGGAGCAGAGATTCTAGAAATATTTCAGCTTCTCTGAACTGCATGAAGAAAGCATTTTGGTGAAGATGCGTAGAAACATCAGACAAAATTTCTACACAAGGATCAACAGTCAGGCGCGTAATTTCTACAGAAACCTCCTTCAGCACAGCTCCGCGCCGCCATCCCACGGCCCCTCGCGGCGTCCCGGCTGCTCCTTCTGTTCCGCGCAGCACAGATGTCCGTACCGCAGGGACTGCCCAACTGAAAATGCCCCTTGCAATGAACAACGCTTTTCAGAGTTCGTTTTGGTAGACTAAGACTCAAACTTGAAGAAAAAATCTGAAATGGAACCTTGTGAGCACCCTCGCCGATGGAAATCTAAGTTAATGGCTTTCTTTTTTTTTTTGAAAAGCAGACTACGTGGAATGAGGAAGCCTGGATTCATTAACCAGCAAGCATCCTTGTAATACTGCAGCAGCAAGTGAATCTGATTTCCATTCAAACACATTACCCAAGAGGAAACCAAAAACTAATTCTTTATGTTAATGTGAAGATATAAGATTTAAATTTATTTCCAGGAATTACAAGTGCATTTTGTTCATATTAGCAAGCAGTCTATACAATCCATTCTTCACTGCTGCCAAAATAAATTGAGAAGACAGCAGAGATATGAAAAGCTAAAAATAGAACTATTTTTCCTAAGTTATTTGTTGAATAGCATTTCAGTTGAACACAACTCAGAGGTAACAATAGATTTTTCTCTCAGTCATAGGCATGTGGCACTTAAACAATCATCTTTGCACAGAAAGCTTTAACAGTCATGCGAGGGCACAGTAATCATTTTAAACAAGGCAAATTTCTCACCACAGAGAGCAGTGGGGAAAGAAAAGGAGGCACTGCACTGGAACATAACACCTAGTAAACTCACATTATACAATTTCAGTAACAAATACTTGAAAAGATCATTAAAAGGTATACAATTTTAAACATTATTTAGTGCTAGCTTTGTTTGGTTGTCCTAACTCAGCATTATCAGAAAAGTTTGATAGTACTTGACAACAGAACAGTACTTTATGTCACGAGCTCATGGAGGCTTGATTACAAATCACCATAGTGTAGGTTGCAAAAAATGAACTTGATATGCTGACATGCTGTAGGAGCAAAAGGAAATTCAAACTTTCTCATTTAAAGATGCAGTGTTCCTCTCTGCGAGAATTCTGAATGTCAGTGATTGGATTCAATGTGAAACTACCAATCCTCATTTGAAGCATTTCATTGGTATGAAGTATGCAGACTTCATCATCATCATTACTAACATCATATTTTGGTTTCTCACTTACCACATTCGGATGCCTTCCACAAAGAAGAGCATTCCCCATTAGGTCATCGTGCCATTTTGTTCTTTGTTAATCTCCCATCACACAGGGAATAAATAGGATGGCAAGCTGCCGCTCATTCTCTTTGCACAAGCCTTATAAACACACCACAAGGTATGAACCTTGGAAGTACTACCCCTCCCAGCACGGTTAAACTTAAAATGATCTGTTTTGAAAAAGGCGGGGAAAAAAAGGTACAAATTTTGTCAATGCATGGTAAAATGTTTCTTAGATGAACTCAATTAAGATGGGTTCCTATGTGGCTACCGCACCGTATAGAATCATGTACAGCACAGGACACCCAAACAAGTGCATAAGCAAGATTAACACGAACACGACTTATGCTGTAATCCAGAGCATCATGGTAAAACCCCACTCACTGGATGCTAACCATTTCCATTTAAAAAGGAAGTGCAAAAAAAATCTGGGATGTCACTGACTTAAAGTGCCCTGAATAGTAGCTTTTCTAAAAAAAATGCCAGCGACTTCAGCAAAGTCAGAAGAACACAGTTCATGGTGTAAACTTCGCATCAGTAATGAATTATCTTCTTGGATATTAATCCAGGAGTGAAAGGAACCACTGCATCTCTCAAACCAGAAAGCAAGCAGTTAAAACACGGCCAGCAGTAGGTGCACTTACAGTACAGTACTGCAACAGGTCAACAACGGGCATTACGCATAGGAGTGTCAATTACAATTCTTCAGGCTTAAAAGATTCATTGAAAGCATGAAAAGCCAAAACTACCAGGAACTGCCCTCCTGAATGGCTCAAAGGAGTTAGTGGATAAGCTGAGAGAGGCCACGAGACATGACCAACAGTAAAGAACTGGGAAGAGGAACAGCAACGTTTGAGCCCAGTCCTTTAAGTCCTTGTCCTACAAAAAAAAAAAAAAAAAAAAAAAAAAAAAAAAAAAAAAAAAAAAAAAAAGCAGAGACATTTCAGTGAAGGAAATTTTAACATTGTCTTAAAAACATTTTCCTATTTCTACCTTTCTCCAAATGAGTCACCTACACTACTCGGTTATCTGAAGAACTGTTTTTTTTCCCCACATTGCTTCATAATTCCAAAAGCTAGAGTCAAAAACGACAATGCAAAGAACACACTGATAAGAGCCAGGTGACAGCAAGGGGCTGCGGAGGAGAGCAGAAATATATGGGAAGAGACTCAGTGTGCACTGTGAGCCAACTGCTAGGGACTGGCCTTCGCTAGGATGTCAGCTACTGACGTTTAAGTGCTGTACTGTGGAATACCTAGTAATTCTGACCACAGATTACTCATACAGTTCTCGTGAATCATTATCTAGTTAAGTTAAATACTCAAATTTCAGTATGTTACTGGCCAAATCAACTCTTCGTAGCAGCACTGAAAGGATCAGAGACTTCTCTTGGCACCGGATCACTGATATCTGCACTCCTAGTCCCTTTACCCCTTAATCCCTACTACAGCCTGGGTACGTGCACCTGGGCAAAGAGGTGAGTAGCAGAGACATCACCTATGATTTACCACAGCATCAGCTATTGCTCTCCTTCCTTGATTCCATGCCTACACAGGCTTCATCTTACTCCAGTTAGACAACTGTCTTCCACAATGTGCACACACTCCTAGTGCCTCTCGTACAGAATTAGCTTCATACAACACAGGAGGGAAGCAGGCACCACCTGCCTTACTGTGTGCCAGGGTAATTCTACTGGGAACGTCCAACAGCTCATGAGCCATAAGGCTCAGATTTACCTGCATTCTAATTATTAAAAGAGTTTCAAATGTTAGCTCCTAAGTTTAATAAGCAAGATTCTCTGTTCCCAAAAATCAAAATGACTGCAGTTGTGAGCTTTTATGTTCAGTACAATTATTCAGTATTCAAGCCAGTGACACAAAAGGAGGAAAAACTATTTACAGTTCACTCAACTTTTTTTTTTTTTTTTTTCCTTCCTCTTTTCTTACCAAGCAATAATTGAGAGACTAGAAGCATAAGCAATGCAGGAACAGAAATCCCATTTTAGTCCAGAAGAATTACTGGCTATAGCAAAGCAGTCAAGTTCCTACACGCTGCAGCCACAGCCACAGATGGCTCACAGTGAAGCGCGCAGGCTCAGAGTCAGAACTTTCTGCTGGAACTGTCAACCAGAGATTCTATTTGTGAACTGCTGATGGAGAATACCATGGAAATCACTTTTAAGGCCACAAAATAGGGCAACCTACATCAGGCAGCTGTCTTTGTATTTTTAGTTTCTTCTCCAGTTACAAAGCTTAGTTACTTAAAAACATTCATTCACAAGTATTAGAGAAAATACACTGTTAATTATGTTACCAATTTTGTATGACACTACCAAGACGTCAAGCCTCAAAGTACATGAAGACAAGTTTATTGATTTGAAACAAAACACAGGTGAATATCAGCAAATTCAAATTAAGCATGTTTAGATCTTCAAAGAACTAGCAAAAGTAATCATAACTGATTTATAAACAGCTGCGCAGTTAATTGCTCATACAATTATCTCAGAGGTACTTAAAACTGAAGTCTCACTGAAGATTTATGGTTTTGAGGTTTGGGGCTTTTTTTTTTTTTTTTTTTTAAGAGTAGTTCAAGAGATTTCTCTCCTCTGCACATTAAATTTAAGAAAGAGATTTTAAAGAGCATTTGAAGCCACACGACCAAATACTCTGTTTCTTCTATGAAGATCACTGACCCCTTGAAAAGCTGTGGTTTTGGTTTTTAAGATTTGCATTTCAGTAGCGTTCTCATCACTTTTATTCGAGAATAAAATCAAATGTAACCCTTATTCCTTAAATGCAACCTGAGAACCAGGTAAACATCTCAAGGCCATTGCCCAGATTCTTTGCAGACAGTTCAGCACTGCAATCTACACTCATTTCTTCAGTAAGAGAACAGGACTGAGGTCAATCGAACAAGCAGAAAGTTGCACTTCAGCAGTTAGTTAGCAAGTCAACAGAAACTGTCAGCTATACATCTCACTAGCAGTAACCACTGAGTTCCAAAATTCTTCTGGTCAAATGGTTTCTTATCGCTGTAACTTTACCTATGCACAATTTAAGATCGATATCCTGGCTGGAATCTAGCAGTTTCCTCAAAAATCAGTTCTTTCAGCTTTTCCTTCGGCAAGTCATCCAATTCCATATCAAACTTGAACGGTGCTTCAGCTACAGGCTTGATAAAATTAAAGAAAAAAGGTAACAATTCATCTTTTTCAAACTATTGTTCTGTTGAAATTAACGGAGATCCTGAATGGGAAAAAACATCTAAAAGTGTGCTCACAGAAACATGCAGCATTTTGCAGCCTATGAGGAACGACTCATTCAATTAGTCCTTATATGCTTCATATATTAAAAATTTTTAAATCAAATTACAGTCAAATGCAAAACAAAGCCTAATACTTGACAACAGCTCATATCTCAGTAACTACCTGGACAGAAATCTGAAACAGCAGATCTCTCAGAATAAATCTATCCCTCAAGGAAAACCTGCATTTTTCCTTCTCCCCTGCTTCACAGGTAACCTGAAATCTCACCAGTGTTCTATCAACTCCAGTAAGCTCAGTTTTGGGGGCTTTTAAAGCACAATGCAATGGCAACTTCTGTTACTTCTCCTGTCTCATCCCAGCCACTATGAAACAAAACACAGTGAACTGAGAAATTCCATTTTCAGAATAGTACTCCTTAGCATATATTTGTTTTTGTGTTGTGCCTCCAAAATGTAGCACTGGATCAAAACAAAAGCAGGACATTAATTTCAAGGATTGAAGTTAATCAGACTGAATTTTCCCCACTTATTTTTATTACACAAACATTTAAACAACTTCTTTATATCTCTAAATGCAAGCAAGACTTCTCGGTCTATAAGGACCACTTAATATAAGTTACTGCTTGTAAAGAGCAAGAGAACAGCAACACTCTTGATCGTGTTAGGCCTGTGACAAAGTGCAATACACTACTTAAAAGAAAAGTTTTAACTTTGCAACAAAAGATTAAAATTTCTTGAAAGATGTCTAAAAAGTAGCAGCATTATTTTCAGATGTAAAGAACAGATGCAGCTCTTCAGCTGCTGACTATCTGTCTCAATTTGGAACGCTGGAAGTGTTGTCAAGGCTCGAAATACTACTCCAAATTTCCATTGGGAAGCAGAACATACATTTCTAACCAGGTTGGTAAAATGATACCATCCACTCTTCATTCCAAGTAGAAACATTGTCCATACACTAATGAAGAAAAAAACCACACTGTATCACTTTATCAACAAGATTCACATTTTAACAATGTTTTTACCTCATCACTTGGATCGTAATACTGTTCCAGATACGGATGGGCTAAAGCTTGTTCCACTTCAATTCGCTTATGAGGATTAAAGGTCAACATTTTATCCAACAAATCAAGTGCTAAGATAAAAAACAAGCAAACAAGAGCTTAATACACACTTCAAATGGCAAAGTACAGTAAGTGCTACTGATACTACATACGAAAATCAAGCTGCCTTTGTGCTAATTTTCATTTACAGCAGTAGCAGCAACAGAAACAGCAAAATGCTTCCTCTGAGTAGGGCAGCGCGTCTCTTTTTGTCCATCTTATCAGCATTCCTAAATTAGTTTCCTAGTTTCCTTCAGCCCGCACTGGCACATTTTCAGAACAAGTATAGAAAAACATGCACCCTTTGGAAGGCCTGTTTTCACAGACCTAGAAACCCCCTTGCTTTCTCCATGCCAAAGCACGTTGTGCACACTGTTCTCACCAAAACGACGGCACTGAGCTTTCTGAAAGCCTGCTCTGTTAAAGCTGCTCTGAAGGTTTAGATGGAAAGGTGTTACGAAGTCTCACTGACTGCACGTTCCCCAGCAGCTAAGCACATGAGCTTCACTGCCATTTAAGCTGTCAAAAACCCCAGTAAAAATTTCTCAGGCTGACGAGCACAGTTACAAAGCCAGAATAAATCACCACTGCTTCCCTCCATAAGGATGATCAGCTCTACTGTTCCAGCTGCAGAAATCAGCTTTTTCATGACACTTCAGTACCTGATCATATTCACTGAAAGCAAATTATTTTATCAGTTCAAAAACTCAGGTGACATGCATTGTGTCAGAGCAAGCATGAGAGCCGTGCTGTGCAAACAGCAATCCTTGAACCACACAAAGTAGAAGCTAGAAGGAAATATCAGTTATGCAACAGAACAAACTGTAAATGTCCAATGCCAAAGCTGCATATCCGAATGAACTACACTTTCCAAGACAACAACAGCTGGGATTCCCACCTTTTTCAAAGAAGTTAAAGACCATAACACAATTTTTGACTTGTTTAAGAGCAAGAGGAGTTTCATGCTGGTTGATCATCTCACATCTGACACAGGTGTTCTAACATACCCTGATGCCCTAACTCCAACTCAAATAAATTCTATATAATGGCTCTAAAATCTATAAAGTGGTTCTAAAAAATATCCCATTCTGCCACTCATTTTGGTGCTCATTTCCACTTCTGAAAATCTGATATAACGTAATAGAGAATAAAATACCTTTGGGGTCAGCATTCGGAAACAGCCTGTTCCACGGCACCTTATTTTTGTGTGGTAGAGAAAGCAAATAGTTTCTGGCTTTTAAATTTATTATACAGTTCAAATCTTCTTGGGAAGGGGATCCAAGTATACCTATAAAAATAAAAACACAAACAGTACTGCATTCCTATGAAAGTCACATTATAGCAGTTGCATCACGTTTCCTAAAAGCCAACGTTAAAAGTGCTGCAAAGAATCCACATCACGTGTTTAAGAGCACAGAATACCACAGAATGTTTAGCAACCCCTACTAACAAGGTGTTGGTTACTTGTTTTCTCATAAACAGATGCATTTGAGTTTTCCAATTAGCTGCAGTTTGCTTATAAGATCCAATTGATATAAGTTTACCTACAGAAACTTTCACAAATGGACTTAGACATTTTGGTATGTGAGCTTCTTTGTTTATTAATTTTTCTAAAACATCTCTGCTGATATAACAAATAAACATCCTCCAACCACCCCTCAAGTCAATGATTTACCTCATAAATCACTACAGAAATAACTACAGGGAACACAAAATGCATCGACAGATCCTTAAGTTATATGTTCTTGAAGACAATCCATACATACATCACCATGGATTAGACCAAAGGACAATATATAGAATAAAGGAACTGAAAGATTAAAAGAAAAAAAATGGGTGACCCAGATTGGTCCATCTGGTAGAAAAGATGAAGAGAAGTGGATGAATGAGGAAAAGCTATTATGTAAAACTCACCAAGGATATGGTTAAGTTGGTCAAGGTAGTGTTTTCCTGGAAAGATGGGTCTGTTGGAGAGCATCTCTGCCAGAATACAGCCTACTGACCAGATGTCAATAGACTTGGTGTAACCCTGCAAGTAAAGCAAAACAAAAACCACCACTTTTAATCAAATACATTTTTGCGTAACTGCAGTAACACATTACTTTAGTACAAATGCACCGAAACTGTTTAAACGTGTTGTGCCTGTTCATCTTTTCTGGTATATAATGAAATAATTAAGAACTGCAGATCAAAAATACTGCTTCGAATGAATAACAAAGCCTGAAACACCCAAGGCGCGCTCTTCCAAAAGGATTCAGTAAGGTTAGCTGTACATATGACCAACCATATATTTGTGAGGCTCCCTAATTCTATAGCCAATTTACATCAGCAGACTTCATTAACAGGCCTTACACTAACTTGGACTCTGAGAAGTTCACAGCATCAAGGTTACTGCAGTTCCCAGCATTACGCTGAACACGTGAGCAGTGGGAAAAAGCCATAGGTCAGTAAGAAACCTTCATCACCAAGGGAGTGAAAGGGCAACACAGATTGTGGGTTAGCTGATCTGTAAACACAGACGGAAAGTAAGAAGTAAAGATGGTGTGAGAAGGTCAAATAATGAGATAAGAAGAATGGAACAAACAACATCTTCAGGTGAGTAACTTGCATTATACGCTTCGGAATCAAAGGCTTTTCTTATGTATCCACCCTGGTGCTGGTAATACACAGGGAACTACCTCAAGAACCACTGGCCTCACAAACGCCCTCGCCTTCCCCTCCCACAGTCTGCTGCCTGCTGCTCCCCGTCCCCCGGCAAGGAGCTCCCACAAAAGCAAGCGACTGCTGACTCCACCGCCTGCTCAGCACAGTTCTCAGCATCCTATCACTGACTGCTTGTTTTCTACACACCAACTCTGGAAGAAATCAGGTTATTGACCAGGAACATCATGCACTGTGCACTTCCTGAGAAATACATGAGATATCTTCTTGTAAAAGCTGCTGATAATCCAGAAATAAATGTAAGCTGCCCTATGCTTATAGCCACAATGGAAGTTTAAAATATAAGGTTTTCCTACAAAGCCTTTGAGGAATACCGAATACAGAGAGCTGTCACACTGGCACTACCAAATGCACCACTGTGGTAACTTCTGCAGAGGCTGTGGAGGTTACCCACAGCATCATACAGAAAACAGACTGACTTTAACAAAGGCACAGAAGAACGTAAGAATAATTCCAAGTACTACAATAACAAAGTGATGATTTGATTAAGACTTCAACAACATATTTAGGATTGACATACAGCAAAGACCACGTCTTCAAAATAAGACTCACCCTCATTATACATTCTAAATCTAAACGAAGATGTCAAGATTAACACTAAGGCAACACTTGCAAACCTTCCTGAATACACTGAAGTGCCCTCATCACCAGCATTTCTGTCTTGCTCTACAAAAGAGAGCACCTGACAGAATAAAGTCTCATGAATGGCAAGAGATGAGGCATATGGGGACCCAAGCACATCTCTACTCAGCTGTAGTATCCAATAATTGTACCTGAAATCCCAAATTCACTGCAAACCAATAGTTGTAAATCCATTTCTCTGTTCCCTCAACATTATGTGTGAGCTCCAACTGTAAAAAAAATAATCCAGAGGGGACAGGAGAAAGGACAAAAATTTGGTGCTCACAAGTGAATACTCAGCAATAGAAGCACCACAGCAGCACACTGCAGTTCTTACCTTAGAATTCAGCATGATTTCAGGAGCCCTGTACCAACGCGTGGCCACATATTCTGTCAGGAATCCTGTGTGATCGTGGTCAGGATCTGCAACACGAGCCAGTCCGAAGTCACAAATCTGGTTTTAAATTAAAAAAAAAAAAGAGCAAGTGTATTAGACATGCATACGTACAGCTCCCCACGCTGCAATATTTCCAAGTCACCCCACCTACGATGGTACACTTACAAAGACAGTGATGCTAGCACGTACCTCCAGAAATAAATTATCTCACAAAGGTTGAAAAAAAAAAAAATAAATTTGGAACTCAAATACAAAAAAGCTATTTGGATAAGGCCCCAGAAGGGTCAAGGAGAATAAGTAGTCCTAATAGCTTGAGGGAGAACATTTCTGGCATACAGTTTATGCTCTGCTATGGGCTCATTTAACACGATATCCGCCAGGAAGGGGGTAAAGCACCCTGCTCCAACTTATTTGAATTTTACAAAAAAAAAAGAAAAAAAAAAAAAAAAAAAGAGGAGATTAAGCTCTCCAACAACAAAAAGAATTAACGACCAACACATCTGAAGAACAGTTCAAAACTCCATTTTACAAAAAGTACCATTACAACAGAGTATATTCGCAAAAAAACCACCATGAGATAATGGTGTACTGGAGGGATTACAGGTTGCTGAAGGAAGCATAAGCACAAAAACCCACAAGAGAGCATTTCTCAATCTTATGCCAGGAAAATAATTTTATCTAATCATGAAAAAGTCATCTCTGATGTACAGCAGTGAGATGGGCAAAAAGGAGAAAGTGTTCTTATCCACACTCTGATAAGGAGGCTCCATGGCTTTCAGAGCCATTTATGTCCTTCTTCCAAAGAGAAAATAAGAAAACTGGAAACGTGAATAAAGACAGCACAGCAGCTCTCTGTCACAACACCATCAAACAACAATTAACAGTGTTAACACTTAAGAGGAACAAAATTTCTGTTTTCATTCCCCTGAAAGCATGACTTAAAGTCGTTCATTTTCATGGGACACTGTGTTTTGAATTTAAGTGCAACGATCACTTTGTAAGCATGCACGTGTGCATAACACAGACTGGCAGAACAGCCCTAGAAGAAACAAGTCAGCACAAATCAGTGCTCACAGACAAGGCCCAACACACACTTTCTTTTCAATCCCATTGCTTACACTTCAGATGTGGTAACAGCAACAACGCAGTTCCCTTTAGGTTAAGAAAAAGCGTTTGCTCTGTCATACAGACTACCACACTCTGCACTAGGGAAGCACACATTGCAGAAGCGTGCTCTTTTTAATACCCAAGAAAGAAACCAGAGCAGCATTTACTGAGCTCATACGCTGCCACCCAGCAAACTTAATTTACTTTTTATGAGCATCTTACTTGTCTTAAAACACTTCTTTAACTGCACGCACACAGCTACGCTCCAACTTTTATTTCCTGCTTCTACTACAGATTTTATTCCATTTCCTTCATGAGGGGGTTAATGCCGTGAGGAGCTCTGATGTGACAACAGCTGCAGTTCCTGCAAGAGGCAGAGGGCCTTGTCCAGCAGGGTGCGTTGGGAAAGGCAGACAAGGAGCAGTGGGAATACAGAGCAAACTAACGGAGCGGTCAGTATTTAGAATGGACCAGTGCATAGAGCAGTTCAGCAGCAAAGAATTCTCTTGGAATTCTGACAAACCTGTACGGCCAGCAGCCGGCTCACATTCTGCAGAGGGTCAGTTGTTACTGCTGAGTTTTATAATAAGTGTGTTAGAGCCACTATAAGAAATCAGTGTAATTAGGGGGGAAGACAGCATGGAACAGAACAGTTGTACCACATCAGATCAAAGCCATGTAAACTCCGATCTCATTCCATCAGTAGCCAACAGTAAATACTTGGAAGTACTCGATGTGTACGAGGAAACATGCCACGCACTTACCACCATGGAATACTAAACCAGAGGCAGCATTCAAAACCTTTTTCTTCTGGTTACCTGCTTGGTGTGTAAGTCACACTACCTTAATATCTACTCTGTGTACCAATTTCCATACCTTAAAAAGCTGAATGTTAACTACTCAATCCATTCACTGTGAGCATGCCAGCTGCTCCTTTCATTTGCCCCGTCCAGTTCTTATTCTCAATAGCTAAGGACTGTAATAGTTCACTAGCTCTCCTTGCCACTAGGAACCTCATCCACTTCTATTGTGTTCTTTCTTTACTCAAGCAGTATCTTCCAGATGGGAAGACCTAGGCTAAACACAGCTCTTCTTCATTGGGGTAGGAGCACCCTGAAATCCTGGTCACCTCTTTCTGGAAGACCATCACAGGGAGAAGCGTGACAGTTACAATCACACAAGAGCAGAAAGTTACAGCAAGGTGTGTTTTCCGTTTTGTTCTTTATTTCTGTTCTCATTCTTCACACTTGATTTGCTTCTCTGAATGCCATTAAACAACAAAGTAACATTTTCCAAGCACTGTAACAGCTCTAAGATCATCTGCAGTATTAATTCATAAAGAACCTATGACAGAAAACATAAATTAGCAATGCTCTCTTCCCAGTTGATGGCTCTGCTTCCTATCAGCACTGACTTTAGCGTATCGCTTTGGTTGTCTGCTATTATGAAGCTCTTTTCCAACTCAGAATGATTAACAGTCTTAATACAGGGACTCAAGACTTGAAATACACACAACTGTCAGTTTACCTTCCCGGTAAACACAACTGTGTTTCAGATTGGCATTTTCACCAGCTTTTAAGGACGCTGTTTCAAAGCCAGCCTCCAGATGGAAACAGCGATGCGCTCATTAGAACAGGATAACACAGCACAGCTCTCAAACATCGTTTTATGAAAATTAATAATGATTTGGCAAGCTGTGCACAACAAAAATCACATTAATCCCCAATAACACTATCACATTCCTAGCTGTTCACAGTTGTAACAGATTATACAGTTGATGAAGACCATAGGGGCAAAATTTTTAAGAAATTTCTACTAACCTTGAGATCACAAGTGGTATTAAGCAGCAAATTCGAAGGTTTGAGGTCACGATGAAGCACATTGGCTGAATGGATATATTTTAACCCTCTCAGAATCTGGTAAAGGAAATAACAAATGTGGTCGTTGCTGAGGTGTTGAGTCTTTAAGAGCTTGTAAAGATCTGTTTCCATAAGGTCTTGCACAATGTATCTGTAAGGAATCAGATGTAAGGCAGCAAAACAAAGCTGGTGGCACGTTAAATATCAACATACAGTACCAAATGAAACTTCTAAACCCATTTTTTTCTTTTCTTTCTTTGCTTCACAACAATTGGAACTACTTGGTTGATTCTTGCTTTACAGACTTTGAATCAAATCAATGCTGATAAGTGATAGAGACCCTCAGAGAATTAAGAGGCACCAGTTCGCGGTCCCCTGAAGATAATCAAACTATTTCCTTATATTAGAGACTGATCTTCATTGGAATCTTACTGCGACTAGCTTTCTATCCTGCTTGCCAAGAAATTCAAGTTGTTTTCATTTCATGAGTAATAAGCTGAGATATTAGCTCCTGCTGCACAAACGCTTCAAGGTGGAAAATCCAATCACTTCTGATCAGTCTCCGCCACTTCCAAAATGTTCTCCTTTACTATATGTTTATCATACCATATTGGTAAGCAAAGACTGTGCTCAAGTTAAATTCTAGTATCTTTCATCACATTATTCTTTCCCAAGGCTGAAATTAACACAAAAAGGTTTAATTCTGCTTTGACAAAAATGAATTGAGCCAAAATTTCCTTTCCTTTAATTCAACTCAACTCCAAAACTCTCGGAGTGTAGTTCCACAACAGTTTCCCCCCAAAATAGGATTAAAAAAAGCTAACAAACCCACAACCCCAAACGCCAGCCTCTACTACTGCCATTTCAGCTGGCCGTTTCCATCCCTTCCTTTGCACGCTGCCATCACACCACACCACCAGGACGTCTTTTTAAGAGCACACGCCTACAGCAGCAACTGGCCACAGAAGTGCAACCTCAGAGTCCCACGGAAGACTGAACTCAAAGAGCACACTGCTAATTAGCGAAGTGAGAACGTTTGACCTCAATTCCATTCAATGCCTTGTGCTTTTAAACAGGCAGACTTCTGTGAAAATCTGTGAAGCCAAAAGGAAACAATATATACAGACTTAGTGAAACAATGCGAGCTGACTCCAAACTAAGGTTGGTACCACGGGCAGAACCTCTCAGCTGTAACAGCCTTGGTATGTTCGATATACACATGAAGCCAACAGCGAGTACACGTCTACCAGCCTGTGAGTAGTTTCAGACTTCATATATGCAAGAAGCACTGCAAGGCTACAGTGAGAGTGGAGGGATGCCTGGCCTCTCGAGCCCCTGCCCCAAAGGTATCCTTTCCATTCTTTAGGAAAGTCTTAGACAGTTACATCAGAGCTTTACCATTCCATTTTCTCCTTGAAGCAATCTGACAGTTGTAACAAAGGTTCTGCATACAATGACAGTTCAAAGACTGACTGCACTAAATGCACATGGAGTTCTTTGCCTTGGAGTCTTTTTTTTTTTTATTATTTTTTTAAATATGGAGAAAAAACAAACCTTGCACTCATCTAGGAATCAAACCTATCAACCAACGCATCTACAAATCCATCAAATACTATGAACTCCCATTCCAGTTTAAAGTAATAAAAGCCAGCTTTTATTAAAATTTAGTAAGGATAAGGATGAAGAGGGATTTAATGAAAACAGAGAAGGAGGTATCAACCACTAAGCACAACAGATTCTGAAAGGATACACGTCTTTCATTTGTTCAATAGTTGGAGCTCTGATAATATCATTTATTCCGATAATATTCTCATGCCTGAAGCGCAGTAAGATCTTTATCTCTCTCAGAGTTCTCTGGCAGTACGTCTGATGCTCAAAAGGACTGATTTTCTTTATAGCAACTCGAACTTTGTTGACGTTGTCGTAGGCAGAACTAGAACAGAACCAATAATTCGTGTTAAAATTCATTCAATTCAGAAAGCAAGAATGTTAATTCTACTGAATGCAAGGACTGCTCTCTTGTTTTTACATTTATTTTTATCAAATGCAGGAGACAGTAACAAGTATCTTTTAAGTTGATGACAGCACAACAGTATTTTTTCTCTTTTCAGCTTATTTGGGTACCTACAAGTCATGACCTTTGGCAGCCAACTTTTAGCCTGCTGAGTCCCAAGTACCTGAACAAAGACAGACACATTCACCTCCTCACTGCCCCGTGGAAAAATTAAGTTTGACTCTTCCTGTACACTGTGATCAAGAAGCAATTTTAGACAACATGTTAATCCTGGGTTAACCCATTCACTTTGGAAAAGCTCTCCGAAGCCATCTTTCAAGCAGCAGAATCCTACACCGTGTCTCACTCCTCCACTGAACTGCATTTTCTGTACTTCTGAACAAGGGAATGGACTTGTGAAGACGCCTCTCCCAGTTCAATTCCAAGGACAACAGCTCCAGAAAATAACATCCTCGCACGAAGGGCAGCAAGGAGCAGCCCTGCAGCAGCGCCGCTTAGGGCACACTGAGGTAAGAAGCGCAGGGCCGCGTTCAGGAGCACCAGCACAGGAGCTCAGGCCGCCCGCTCACAGTGCCCCCAGCCACCAGGAGGCTGTGCAGGAGGCGCAGATCTCAGTTATTCCTGAGCAAAAAGGCTACGGGTGGTTACAAGGCTGTTCTAGCACGTTCTTTAAGGTCTTGTTTACACGAACGGCAAAGCATCTCATTATAATAATTTCTCTTTAATTACATTACCATATGCTTTTAACATAATTAGAATTTAAATGTTCATAATTTTTAATATATAAAGATTGCTTGTTCCTTTCAGGTTTTTTATTCACTACTTTAGAATTCTTAAAAAATACTTATCAAGCTTATATTTAGACATTTGTTGGCCTCAGCCATTTCACATGAAAATACAGCCATGCTGCCAGCTAACCACGCTTCTCATCCTACGGATTTTTTACCATCAAATCCCAGGATGTTCCTTCTTGGCCTTAGGCACCATCTGGCAAGCAGATGAGCCGGAATGAAATATGGATATGAAAATCCAATCAGAAGAGGACGACTGAAAGGAACTCTGATGTCTGGCTCCTTCAAGGTTCTTCTACCACAAAGCACGCTTATGGTGCAATAACATGTTTTTGAGACAGCACTGTACCTTCAGTATGCAAAAACATTTACATTTCTCACTTTTATTGCCAAAAATGATACAGAATTTATGCTGCCAGTAAATTCATGTAGCTCATATACATGCAGTGACATCCCTTTCACTCCCTCGCCCCCACAGAATCACTTTGACCTGCTTAGACCTGTAACTCATCTATAAGCACAGACCAAGCACAAATGTTACACGCCTCCAGAAACACTGAACTCCAGTGCTCCACGAAGTGCTCTGAAATTCCACGCAGTAAGTATTCATTACACCTGCTGTTAGTACATATGTGTATCCAATACATCAGCACTCACAAGTCCCAAACCAAACAATAACAAAATGCCACCTCCCCAGTGGCAGCTCTCTGGGCTGCTCAGGACGTCCCCAGGTGCTTCCAGCAGGCCAGTACAAGAAGTCATCAGCACAAAACAAAGCTAGAGATTCTTAAGCGTGAACAGCCTGTACTTGGGAATGAAATAAAAGAATCTTACAGATCATTCTATTGTTTTAAATAAGCTTATTCTCTTCTTTGTATTGACTGAAGCCTATTTTGCTCTCACAATGAAGAACCATATGCATCAGCCAGGAGCAGCTATGACAAGTAGTACATGTTGGGCATTTTGCCTTGTTCAACTGATGCTGCTTAAATAAAGTCTTAATCCCTTGCAGTACTGGATGTCTGTCTATGTTGCTGATTCTCACATAAAGGTGGGTCACAAAGGCCCCGAAGATGCTGATAATAAAATTAAAAGACACAGAAGACAGGTTAGGCCACTAACAGCTTCAATCTCTTCCCTGAAATTTAGGCAGAAGACCAGGTCCCTATCCATGAAAGGTACCCAGGAGACTGAATTCAGCAGAACTGAAGTCACGTGTTCCCACTCGCACGCGTGCTGCCACCGCACCCATATTCAGCCTGTGAGATCACATACTGCTACATAATGTCATGACATAGGAATCACTGCACACTACAGTAACTCTGTACTCTGCTAGCCAGACCCAACCATTTCCCACAGCCCCTCCTACTCCACAACCTTTAACACCAGTGCTGCTCCCCAGAGCAGCTGAAGGAACACAGAACACATTGCATGGAGTCCATTGGCAGTAACAGGAAATGCAAATCCAAAACCCCAATGCAAAAACTCACTGCTGTTAATGAACAGCCTACTTACCACCTAACACAGGATTCACCTTGAGCAGCCTTAGCCAGAATTAGAGATCTAATCTTATGACAAACAATTGCCTGGGCTCCCCCTACAGCTCAAGAAGAAATAGCTTCACATATACATCCCAAAGCACGACCTTAATTTGGATAATCCACACTCTGGAAGCGCTGCACAGCCTAACTGGGCTCTGCTGGATCTTGTAAGTGTTGTTATTTTCACTGAAGCAGCCAACCAACTGCCTCCCAGAGCCAAGAACCTGCCGGCTTTTCAGAGATCCATGAACTGGGAATACCAGTTCTCATACCAGTAATTTTCTAAGTGCCAATCCATAGCTTCTAGTTTATAACCCTTAACATACACTCACCGCTGCACATCACGCCCTATGGGCTCTGGGTTACTCCTATGATGGTGCATCTCGTTACCAGCACTACGTATTCAAAAGGAAGGATTTTTCACCCATCAAGATGTGCAGCTTCACCAGCTGATGCAACCACAGCTGTGAATGCTATTTATCTGTAACGTGATAAAATTAAACCGATTCTGATTTAAACAGCCCAACTCCAGCATACACATTATTCCTATTTCAAGCTGCAGCTACCATCCTGTGACAGCCTACAGCAGCACCATTAGCCAGATCCTTTCCAGACACCGTGTACAAATCAATACCAGCCCTAGCGCTACCGTTCATCATTCCCAGTATTAAGGTAATACATTTAAGGTAAATATATGACAAAGTTTTGACTAAACAGAACATCCCACACAGCAGCACAAAGCAAACAGATGAGCACGCATGGCCTGGGGAGCCGCGCCACGCTGCTCTGAGCCGGCCTTGATGGCTGCACAGCCCGGGCACTGCGGTCCAACCCAGGGCAGGGCTGCCTCTGGCCGCAAACCAACCGCGATGAGCGGCGGGCGTGCAGCCCCTCTGCCATTAAGCCCTTCCCAGGGCAGGAGAGCTTGTCACCACGCAGTACAGGACGAGCACCAAAGCTCAGCTCCTACCACAGAGGCTGCCGCACGCTCTCCCGCCCATTTCTTTTCTTCACACGTTTCATTTCGGAGCTGGAACAAGTGAGAGCATGCCGCAGCTGCTGGGAGAAAGGAGCCAGCTCCTGGCCGCAGCCACATCCCACAGAGGGCTGCTTCTTCACACAGATGCTGACAAACAATCGCCTCCTCTGCTCGCCCCTCGGCTGCACTGTGGGGTCAGCAGCCCGATGCCGTCCTGCAGCCGCTCGCAGACACAGAGGTATGAAGCGCTGCGGCCGACACCACACACCACGATTACAACTCAGAACTGATCCATCTCAGGTTTAAAAGGGATGTTTTGTCAGCAGCTTCGCGTTGCTGTGGAAACAAGATTCCAAGGGCACAGTCAGAGATAATCTCCCTGAAATACTGAATAATGCGGCCTGCAGTCTGGAGAGGAAAGCATGGCTCCCAGAGCAGCTGATCTGGAAAGACCTTCAGGCTCTTCGCTCAGCCTGCATTTAGCTCAACTGCAGATGTTTCCACGATGTGCTGGCATTTATCACGTTACAATGCAAACAACTTGAACTTATTTTTTAGACTGCTGTATGCAAAATAACAGTACTGTGATACAGTTGGCCAACCAGGTTGGGAGCAGCTACAGAACACCTTCCTAAGAGCAAAGGCTCGAGGAAGGGACAAAGCAGGCAGTTTCAGATTCAATGACATCCAGCTGTGTCATTTTCTAACACTGGACGTACTCTCATCCCCCAGTTGTGAACAATTAGGGGTAACAGAAGTTTTTGATACCTTGTTCTGCTTATTCCTAACATTTCTTAAGATAAATAACCATAGTATTCATTCAAGCACTAGCAGTAACCCTGAGAATCAACCTACTTTTAAAAGAAACATGCATGTTTACATTAAGCATATTCTCATCATTTTAATGGACCTCAACCTACAAAAGCACAACTCCTGGAGCAGCTGAAAGCAGAGAGCTGCTTCTGTTTTAGATTTGTGAAAAATTAAAAATAAGGAATCCCACCCTCCAATCTCCAGCTGCTTTTCAAACTCCACAGAGATCACAGGCTGTAAGAACACGGCTTCTTCTTCGTGCCACACAGGAGGACAGAAGACAAACACGTACCTGTGAGTCCCCAGTCACCTGTGGCACAACGCAGGCATTCCCTGCAGGAACAGCAGGCAGGAGTGCGACGCCAGGAACACCAGCAGGCCCTTCTCAGTGCAGCCAGCACACGTGTGACTGCTGAACGCCCCGCCACCTGTGCTCAGAGACCTGCCCCAAGTCGTGCAGTACGAGATGAGCTCACATGTACCTTACGTCATCTTCTCAAGAAAAGCCAAAGGAAGCACAGCCATCAGCACCGCCTATTTCTCTTCATTTCCTTACATCTCATGCTACAAAACTGACAGCAGAAGAACGAGCAACAAGAGAATGTTACAGTTGCTAAGCAGCACACGCAACTCAATTCCAAGCAGCATGAATTTGGGTCTGCCTCAAAGTTCCTGACAGCAGACTACTTGAGAATTCATGTTCTCTGAACAGCTTTCCATTTGACTGGATCTGGTGCCACCAGGTAGATTTATTGCACCTAGACCAAGAAAACACAAATCTGTTACTAAGTCTTC